TCATCTGACGATGGCCTAATATTTTTGTTTCATTAATTAATTTTTAGTTTTCGGGGTTAATAGATATAAGAGGATGTGGTATGAGTGCCAATGAGACAACTCTCCATCCAAGTCAAAATTTATAAAAGTAAACCATTATAGGTCAAAGTACGGTCTTCAACACGGAGCCTTGGCTCACACCAAACAGCAAGCTATAAAGGGCCCCAAAAATTACTCTAGTGTAAAACCATTCAATCGGGAAAACCAACAGTCTAATCTATATAAAAAACGAGAAACACTTATGAACCACATCAACAAACGACAACTACTGAACATCAGATTCCTGACTTAGGACAGGTGCAAACAATTGCAGCGGTTGAAACGTTTTAATGTGATTCTTGGCGTAAAACCTTCTTTAAGACTTTCATTATAAAATTAATCATGATCAGTAAAGCAGGCCAGACGTTTCAGCGTGTGCACTCTTGTTTTGTTGTTGTTTCTGGGTAAAGATTGCATAATGTACAAATTTTTCCAACATTTATTTCAAAATTGAATATTATTTTTTTTTAAACATAACGGTTCTGTTAGTCATGATTTCTATTATATAAACTATAAAGACACAAGAAAATGTGCTGACTCAAAATAAGTTTTAGATGTCAGCTGTGAAATCAATGATGAACATTAAAATACACAAACATTATCATGTAGAAATTGACATATTGGTGATTTAATGTAAAGTACACCTAGATTATAAGTACTCAAGCAATAGAATGGAATGTATGAAATATTCAATCTTCTGTAAAATTTCCTAATCCTTTAGACAGGGCATAACAGGTCCTTTGTAGTGTTGATGTTGGCTTTGTGGTTTATGAATTAATAATGATATATTTTCAATGAGACAGTCTTGTTATAGTATACAGGATTTTTCTCTGCTTGGATTTCTGTACAGTATTAAATATGAGGTAAGGGAACAGTTGTTCATTAGTTTTATTGAACAGTTTCAAAATTTTAAGTGGGTAAAAATCAATTAACATTTGTGACTATGCATCATAACTTTTTTTCCTAATTGATTGACTTAAGACTTAAAGTAAACCTTCAGATGCATTTGATAAGGAATGTTACAAAAGTAATTGATAGATACAGTCATTGCTAATTAATGCTAAAGAAAGAAAAAAACAAAATCTTACACTCAAGGTAGATTTTAACAGAAAATTAGGATGAAAAGTGCTTTCTTAGTTTGTGAATTTACTGTTGAATGATTAAATTCTTTTGAGAACCACACCTCGTTTGTAAGTATGAATAATTGAGAAGATTGATTAGAAGATCATATATAATAATGCAATATGTTACATGTTATATAATAATTTCATATTGCTCTGTAGTCAGGGCAGTTGTGTGTAAAATTCTGGGGAAAGAGATGAGAACCTGAGACAAAATACATTATAGTATGAAATTAAGTAATGTCAAACAAAGTTTGTCTTATTACAAAAAGTTACTGCTATTATCACTGATGAGGATCCCTTATGATAAAGAAGACAATATTGAGCAAATTGTCAAATCAGAATAAATTTTGGATCACATTTAAGATACTTTTAGACCAAATATGAGGAATTAAAAAAACTTGGCATCAGCCTTAATTAGCTTAAAGTTATACAAAATAGGTGTGCTCTTTCCCTTCCTATAAAAGTCTTACTAGTGTTACCTCACATACCCTAACCTCAAGTACTCACCAGTCTTTTATTTTGGCCTCCTTACTATGACATAACTTACACAGGCTAACAATTCAGGTCTAATGTTATAAGGTTACTTTCTGTTGTTATACTTAGTGGTTGAGTAGGTAACTTTTGATTACCCCCCCCCCCCCCCCCCCCCCCCCCCCCCCCCCCCCCCGTATACTGGTTTACATAAAATTTGACCCTTTGGTCAGTGTGTCATTCCCTCCTCTGTCCCATAAAAATTTTGAACAAAATTTTCACAAAAACTACAAACCAGAGCTTCATGAAATACTGTGTGATGCTTTTTCAAATTCACCACTTATCCATTTTCTGTTTACTGAATACTTATATACTTAAACTTAGAATTCAGCATGTGATATTATGTCACACTTTGAATCATAATAACCACTCTGACAGAATCGTCCCTTCACAGTACAGCAATATATGTGTAGACTCTCTGAATTTTCTTAGTACTACATGCATTTGGTAATAACTTGGCTCATTTCTCACCTGTTATACTTACATTTATATACTGGGAGAAAGCAATTTCCCTTAGTTTGCTTGTTACTCCCCATAATCTTTTTCTGCATTAATCTTTATGAAATTAGATTTTTCATTAGGATTACAGCTTTGTTGATTCAGATTTATGACTTATTTTATTCATCCATTAACAAACTGTTTCTTGTGTCATAGTTGTTTTACAACATGATTAGATGAAACAATTTGTTTGGGTTTGCTATACCTGGTTGGTTATAATGACAGGTGGTAAATTGTGATAACATGTTTGAAGACAATAAGATAGTCAACTCTTTCATTTTCACCAGAAGTGTGTATTAGTACTTGCCACAGATTTTTTTTTTCTTTTTCGAACATTAACTGACTTTTCATATTTTCAATTGGATTCTGATTCTGAAAAATGACTATCACTTAGAACAATGTAAGTATTTTAATGACAACTTTTTTGTGGGAAAATTGACATAAATATGTAGAGAACAAGGCAATTGATCTTCTCTGTGTAATACATTGCTTAGGGCAGTAAAATGGTAGCTATCCAGATGGCATCATCAAACTAGTTAGAATAGATCATGTTAATTACTGGATAATGTACATACAGGGAAATGACCTATACCGTCTGTTTTTGTTTTAACAATGATTATATTTGCTAGAAGAGAAGGGGCATGAAGTATTCAATTCACAACACAAAGAACAATATGAAATAAGTTCTTTATAGGTGCATCTCAAAGTCTCATTTAGGCCTTAAACATGAAGCAAAATTTCACTACATGAATGGCCAATATCTCTGGTTAGAGATAGATACAAGGAAATCAGCTGACAATCACATTGAAAAATACATTAACAATATAAACATCTTAGAGAATCATTGAGCACAACATGAACACATTTGTTAGATAACTAGGCAGAAAAGAATGTATGAATAGGGGAAATAATCTGGATGCACTGAATAATAATTTCAATAAACAGATGGAAGTAAAGTGCCCCCTTTTATTCCCCTGCGAGGAAAGTCACAGAAGGCGCGTTGTTTGCGTCAACAATTGTTTAGTATTCTGCTTAAATCAGTTTGATAGGAACTACTTGTGAAAGATCAATGATATTTTCTATAAAGTTGCATTACTGTCAGTACATGTGTATATCAGTTTGACAACTATTGCCCCCTATGTCATGGTCCAGTGACTTTGAATTAATTAGCTATTAGCAATGTTGCTTTCCATCAGATTGTCTTTTTCTGAATTTTCTGCATACAGGCGAGACATATCTCTGTTTCAGCAGTTTATTGTAGCATATGTCTGTGTGTGGTAAATAAGGACCCATTTCTAATGAGAGATAATTCATTCAAAACCATGAAGAATGCACAAAATTTTTAACACACCCACACTCATTTTGATTTCCAACTTACCTTATTTGAGCATAAAACTTCCAGAAATGTCATTTAAAGGACCATTGCATAAACACCTTTCAAATGAACCCACATTCCTCAAGCATGATGCATTTTTGCAGCCCTTAACACAGAACAATAGATAGATGTTTAAATGGAAAAGAATGGATATGGCGCAAATTCCCAAAAAACACTGTTTTCTTAACATACAAATTTTTGTTTATCTCTATTTCTCCCAAAGAAGAGAACTAATTGATTCAAGTAATTCTAAATCTAGGAGAGAAAATAATAGATGCTCTTGAAATGATGTTTTCAGTTTTTACTGTATGGTATATATCTGAATGACAGTCTCAGCTATTTTTTCCATTATAATCTTGGATATTGTCATTGGTGATAACTTATCATTTTAACAGAGATAAATAAGAAGGATGACAGTTGAAAATTTTTATAAATTCTGATTCATATTTGTAGTGGTCTGCTTATATCTCAGTTTTGCTTGTTAGATTAGATTAAACACATTTTATTGTAACATGATTATGCAAAAGAGTGAGACAAAAGTTATCACAACTTACAAGGTATTCTCCATTCTTTTCATGTATTATTTACTTCTATATTTGCATGCATCAGCAATTAAACATAAGCATCATATGTGTGTGTGGAGACTAAAAAAGAAGAAAAGAAAAAACAAAGATGGAGTTATCATTGTAACATCTTCTGTATTCACACATGATCAAACTTATTCCTTTGTATTGATGAACTGTTGAACTATTTTGAAAATAATTGTATGAGAATTATCAGACAAGATATCAACTCCAAATCAAAAATGTTTTGATTGCCAATTTTGGAAAAAAAATAACAAAATTTGCTTTGAGAAATTTTGTGTGATTCTTTATTAAGAACACAATAATAGAACTAATGAATAACATCTTCTATTCCCCATCCACAGACAAACCTAGTAAGTATTAGTAAAAGTAACTTGAAACAGGTCAGCATTTAACTTTATTTTGCTGTTTCTATGCCTGATTCTAATGTGTAGAACATTAGTAGACCTAGCCTAAGCTAGCCTGTCTCCATCATTAAGATTTTGATAAGAATAGCTGTACTTAGTTAGTTCGCTGAACTAGTTTACATTATTGTTTAGGGGCCAGCTGAAGCCTGCCTCGGGGTGCGGGATTTTGTTGCTGTGTTGAAGACCCAATTTGATGGCCTTGGTCTGTTTTATGCTCTTTGGTTGGTTTGTTGACTCTTTGGCACATTCCCCGTTTCCATTCACAATTCTATTTAACACCTACAAAGTAGGAGGATATTATTTTAGTTATTCACCAAGAGTGATCCAGAGTGTATAACTTTTCAGGTACTGTCATGTCACATACAATAACAAATGTATAATTCTTTATTATTTTTTTTTCCAGATAAACAGTAAAAATGGCTTTTACCACAAAACATCAACAATGTGTCCAAAAGTGTGACCAGCAGGCTAGAACACAATGGACACCCTGTCTCCTCAGTCTGTTTTAGACAGAAGACAAAACAAAGACTCTAGTATTATAGCTGATCATATTACACGTGCTAAAAGTCCAGCAAGACAAAATTCTTTGACTTTTGATTCAGAGTTTGACCAGGAAGAAATTATAAATAGGGTTCCTCAACCATATAGAACAAGTTTCAGTGCAGTAACAACTCTCGAGAGACGAGACAGAAGTAGGTCAACTAGTAGGTCAACTAGTCCTGCACCTACTGTTTCTAGTCTGAAATCTAATAGGTGTAGATCAAAAAGTCCATTAACTAGAAAATTAAGTCCAAAACATGTTACTTATGATTCAGTTGTGACAGTAAGACGCTCGAATTCTTACGAAGTTCAAACATTGTCAGGTGAGGATAAGAAAGAAATGGCCAATAACAGTTCAGATTATCAATCTCGTATCCGGGAAATGTCAGAGATGATCGTTAAGGAATATTCCTCTCCAGAAAAGGAGGATGTAGATGGACTGTTTGTAAATGATGCACCAAAGAAAAATAGTGGGGCTGTGAAAAATGGTGCTCCTAATGGTCGATTACCAATGTATAAACAAAGGAGTCTGCCAAAACAGGTTCTAACTAAGGAGGAAAATGATAGAACAATAAGCTACCGTAAGGCAATTACTGATAATTATTCTACCGAAATCAAACAGCGTGCTGACAACATTGTCGATGAACGTTATGCATCTGAGCCACAAAACATAGGTATAAGGGCAGAAAGATCAAATTCTGTACCATCACGTGATGGAATGGAAAGTAACAAATTAACTCCTCATAAAAGAACAATTAGTGGCAGTATAAGCAATTTTTTTCGGAGAATGTCACCTCGTATGTCAAGAAAACAACGAAAAGAGAGAGGTTCAAAAACAAGCCTAAGTAGCCAGATGAGCAGGGACTCAGAAACGGGATCTAATCAACGATTTTCTCGTGGCAAAGTCAGACAGTCATTCCTCAACCTATTAAAACGTCCCAAGTCTAAATCAGGTTCAGTTACCAAAGAAGACCATGATCACCATCATGATGATACTGATGGTGGTTTTAAGTCTGATGCCACTTCTAATCGCATACTTAGATCAATTGAACAGAACAATATGTCTGAGCGAGAGGTGTATAATAGGTTTAAAGAGAAACAAACTGAGAATGATAGATCTCTCTCTGATATGGAGCATAATAACCGACCTCAAGCCATGAAAGCTGTGTCGCCAACAAATGTACAGATCAGAGTAGATTCTCCTAGATCTGCATACAGGGGAGTAGAAAATAGAGAACCAGTTCAGAGAGACAGGGAACAAGTCAGTAGAAACAGGGAACAGAAGCAATGGTCTCCTCCATCAAATAATGAACAGAATAGTTCAAGGGACCAGATGGTAAAACGTCAATCAGGTCCTCCAGCTAGCCTTAATGTTCAAATGGTCCCAAAGTCGGGGAAGTCCTTACAACGCACATTGATGTCCTCCATGTCTGCAGATGAATCTATTGGAGACTGCTCTCTGGATGTGAACTTTACAGGTAAGATTAAAGGTATGTCTTATCTGTCTGCGAAAATAAACAAAAACCATGTCAGACAAAAAATCAAAATACTCTCTCAAACTGACGTTAAAATATGAAGGAAAAGAAATAGAAGTGTTGAAAACAGTTTTAAAATGATTTTACATTACATAAAATAGAAGTTATGTATGCTTAAGGTTTAATGTTCAACTGGTTAAAAAATTGTTACACAGTCATTTGAATTGATAAATGGAGAGTTTTGTCAACTCTGCTTCCTACAATTCTTCTGGACATAGTGTTCTTTCCATTAGTTGTCATAAATGTTTCACAGATCTTGGGTGACTTGTTTTAGAAATCTAATATTATACACTTTTAGCTTAGTTGTCATACTCAGATCTCAGGTGACTTGTTTCAGAAACAAATTATAATTATATTTTATACCTTTCTTTTTGATCGTTCAGTACATTGTTGGACAGCTGAAATTCAGTTGAAATAGTACATCTCTGTCCTATGGAAGGATAAAAGTTTCCACAGTGATTTGTCTCATAAGGAAAACAATGTCAGGATAACTGTGACCAGAAGCAGAGAGGTGTCCTTGATTGACATATTTCTGTAAGATACAGACATCTCTATACCAACAGATTGATCTGTCTGTTGTGTATTGATTTATAATAGCCTGTTATGTAACGTAATATAAGAAAACATAACACCTAAGGATAAGGATAAGTTCAGCTTGAAAGGAGGCGGGATTATTACATTCAGAAAAACTGACTCTATAATTTCAGGAGATTACATCGGAATGAAAAAGATTTTAGCAAGTTTGTTGTATGCCTTTCTTTGTTCTGCAAAATTAGGTCAGCAGCAAAAAGGAAAAGACTTTAATGATATGTCAGTTTTCAGACAGATCAGGTACAGTGATCAGTATGGGGATAGGAATAAATAAAGTGACCCAGTGTCCTGGTGCAGGATTTTAGAAACTTTATTATTTCTTAGCTAAGTTCTGAGAAGGGATGATTTTTGTCGAGCCTGCGACTTTTGTCGCAAAAGCGAGACATAGCGATCCTACATTCCCTTGTCGTCATCGGCGGCGTCCACCAATATTCACTCTGTGGTTAAAGTTTTTGAAATTTTAATAACTTTCTTAAACTATCCTGGATTTGTACCAAACTTGGACAGAAGCTTGTTTATGATCATAAGATAGTATCCAGAAATAAATTTTGTAATAAAAAAATCCTGTTTTTTCGTATTTTACTTATAAATGGACTTAGGTTTTCTGCCAGTTAGCATTACATTCACTCTGTGGTTAAAGTTTTTAAAATTTTAATAACTTTCTTAAGCTATCCTGGATTTGTACCAAGCTTGGAGAGAAGCTTGTTTATGATCATAAGATAGTATCCAGAAGTAAATTTTGTAAAAAAAAAATCCTGTTTTTCCGTATTTTACTTATAAATGGACTTAGTTTTTCTGCCAGTTAACATTACATTCACTCTGTGGTTAAAGTTTTAAAAATTTTAATAACTTTCTTAAACTATCCTGGATTTGTACCAAACTTGGACAGAAGCTTGTTTATGATCAAAAGCTAGTATCTAGAAGGAAATTTTGTAAAAAATTTATTTCCTGTTTTTTCCGTATATTACTTATAAATGGACTTAGTTTTTCTTACAGTTAACATTACATACAGTCTGCAGTTAAAGTTTTTAAAACATTTATTAGATTCATAAACCATCCTGGATTTTTACCAAACTTGGACAGAAGCTACTTGCAATCAAAAGATAGTATATAGAGGAATATTTTTATTATTTTTTTTCCTCTTTTTTGTTGAGCCTGCGATTAACAGCAAAAGTAGGCGAGACACTGGGTTCCGCGGAACCCTTACGAATTTTTATTTTATATTTGTTTATGTGTCTGTAGGTAGCTCTGTTGATTGAATTTGGAAGGAGGAGGGTGGAGATCTTAAAAAACTAGATTAAACTGGCCAAATATTCATATGCATTTCCCTAGTATTTAAATAAGTCCCCATGATGGCAAAAATAAAGAAGACTATGGTTATCACTTGAACATTATCAATTTGTCACAATTGAGAAAGGTGTTTACTCTCCCAATATTGATTGGGGTCTTGAAACAATTAGAAAAAAGGCGGAAATTTCCTTTTGAAGATGAATCTTTGGATGGTAAAATTTTTTAAAACATTTATTAGATTCATAAACCATCCTGGATTTTTACCAAACTTTGATAGAAGCTTCTTACAATCAAAAGATAGTATCTAGAGGAAAATTTCTAATAATTTTTTCCCCATTTTTGTTGAGCCTGTGACTAACAGCAAAAGTAGGCGAGACACTGGGTTCCGTGGAACCCTTACGATTTTTTTCATCTTTCACTTTGATAACTTCTATGTTCCAAATTAACTTTACAATATATATAAAAATTATGCATTAGATCTAGACAAAATCACAGTAAATGAGTTAAATGGTAGGCCATCCAAAATGATATTAAATATTTCATGGAGAAGCAGGTACACAACTTTTCAGAAAAATATGACAGAGAGGTTAACCCACTCCCTTTTCCCATTGGGTACATATTTGTTTACATATAAAACCTAGACTTAACTTCAATCAAGTTTTTGAATTAAAAGTATAGTTGACTCTTAGTTCTTAGTGCTTAGTTAAAAGATTACAATAAACTTCTGTATTTTGTGTTGTCCAAAAAATATTTAACCTCTGCACATTGTTTACAAATTTGGATAAGTTTTGCAAATTTTTCATGGAATTAAAACTTTTATTTTTATCCATTGTGTCACATATGTCATGTATGTGTAATAACTACTCTTACAGTTTTCAATCCAAAGCCTTTTTGGGGTCTTAGTACATTTAATGTCATGCAAAATATTTGCTTTTTCAGCTGTATAATTGGGTACAGACACTTAAAGTTAGACTGGGTTTTGGAAAGTCCTGTTTAACTTTTCTAAAGTAAGATTCTAAAAGGGTTTTTGTAATTCTTGTTAGGCCCTTCAGCTGTCAAAGAGCCATGTCCTTTCTTTTTGTAAATTCTGACAGGTACATTAGTTAGTATTACATATATATGGACTAGATGAGTAGTTACACAGGCTTTTTGAAGCTGCAGGTTTTCATAAAAATTCAATTAAAGAGTATTTAGATACTCCTCATTTCTTCAAACTTCTTGTATAATTATAGGTAGCAGTCTCATTTGACAATACATAACAATCAAAGGGAAGGAATTCTAGCAATATTGTTACAATCACCATGGGAGGCTACTCTGTTACATTTGAGGTTAAAACTCTGCTATAATTGATTTATTAAATGAATATATGGGATATATTAATGATAATCAGATGAATTATACCATGAAAGTACAATACTGCAAATGGATATAATTTATACTAATGAATAACCTAAAGAAAATAGTCTGAAACTATATTTGTTTAGCTTACTTGCATAATTTAGAATTGCTGTATAAGCAAATTTAGGTTTTATTTTCTGACATAAATAAACACTTAATGTTACAAAATATTTGATCCCCAGTTTACAATTAAGTAAATATCAGAATAATAGTTAGTAATTTATGTCGATTTAAATCTGAAATGTTCAATCATAGATTTATGTAAAGAATTTAAATCTGTTGGTATTTATGTGCAAATCCTTTGACAAAAGTAGTTGGATTAGCGTAGTATGTGCCAATTTTAGGTTTTAAAAACAAAATAAGTGCAGACTTGGTATATTTTGTTCAGGTATTATTTTGTGGCTGTACCAGAAACTTTTACCCTTCTGACATTAATTTTTGGATTTCTATGTTTTGTTTCGAAGACTACTGTTGAGAAATTGATGTTTAAAATATGCATAACTACATAACTGCATATCCTGCACTTAATTTAATTGTTACATGATTTTTTACTTCAGTTAGGTTCCATCCTTGTGTGTAATATATCTTGATAGTAATCTATTGTGTTACTTGCATGTTACTGAAAAGCACCTTCTTAATAGGTGAAGTTTTAGATTTTAATGAAAGGATTCTATGTATACCTGGTATAACTGGTAAATTATTGTTTAGGTATTTCATTACCATAAATTATTTACATCCTAGAGATACTAAATTCTTTCATGAATACAAATATTTGGTTTAGAAATCTGACTATACTTGCAGAAAATTTTACAACTTCTTTGCTCATAACGTATGTGTTTTGCTCATTGTTGTAGGCTGTACAACTACCTGTAGTATTTACCATCCTTGTCCTTTTGTCTTTGGTGGATAGTCGTCTCATTTGTAATCATACCAGACATCTCCCTATTTTTATATTTATTACCAGACCACTTTAAAGATTTTAAAGGCTTAGTGAATAACAAGAAATATCAAACATGTCTCCAAAAAGATATATACAAAAACGTAATTAGATCAAAAAGGTCCTCCCTGTACAAAAAATTCTTGGACCTCTAGTACATCTGTTGGTGATTAAGCTACAGCAACAACACTTAAGATTTAATCTAATTCCCTCTTTTTAAAACAAAGTTTGGGGATATTTTTTATTGTTCATATTTTATTTTTAGCTTGATATTATAAACACTGTTTACTATTGTCAAATGGATTCTTAGATAGGTTGGTTATTTTTTTATAACTGTCAAATGGTTATTGTTTTATTAAAATTTGTTATGGCAATCAAATTATGTCAGGATGATTAATGTGAGTGTTAATATCATCAGCAGATTAACAGATTAATTATATAATTGATTTAATTAGTCAAACCTGTCCTGACTTATCTGATATATGTTCAGGCTTATAAATTATCTTCTCTATTATAAATTGGAAAATGTTTATTTCATAATTAGAGTAATTTTACCCAAGAAAGGATTACAAGAATAATTTTATTGAGATATTTTACTGTTTGAAATTGACTAACAGATTGTGCAATCTTACATACTTTTGATTTGAAAGATTTTATTATCAAGTCTTGGCAGGAATTATGACAAAATTGGCAGATAAGATTATAATAGCATTGAATAGAAATGGTA